AAGATTGCCAGATTAGGTTACAGCTCTCACAATCCCAGTCATTTTATCTCTGAACATTCCTGCATCAACACAGGAGTTCTGGGGGGACACCTCATATACAAACAATAACATTAATCATTCAGCATATTCTCTAATCAGTGTAATTAATTTAGAAGTCAAAAACAAAAGGTAACCACAGAATCATGAAATGATTAAAAATTAAGCAATAAACCTCTAAATAATCCAAGAGTTAAAGAGAAAACCACAATGAAAACAAGAATATATTTTAAACTAAAGAAAAAAATGCATATTAATTCCTGCAATGTGACAAGCAAAGATTCCCCTAAAGGATATCCTTGAATATATACATAGTCCTCAACTTACAATGGTTTAACTTGGAGTTTTTTTGACTAGAGGATATTGTTAGTGATAGGCATTCAGGAGAAATCACACTTCAAATTTTTATCTTTTCCTGGACTAGCAATATATATAGGGTACCCTAATGAGCCTGGGCAGCAGCAGAGTCACAGTTCCCAGCCAGACACATGACCACAAAGGTAAGTCACAAATATGGTAAAAGGCACTGAACTACTAAGCTATGATGGTTAAAAAGTTAGGTGTAATGAGCTGTTAGTCAATTTTCTGTCACTGTGACAAAATACCTGACATAATCAACTTAAATGGAGGAAAGACTGATTTTGGCATACAGTTTCAGAGGTTTCGGCCATGGTCACTTGGCCTTGTAGCTTTGAGCCTGTGGAGACACAATACATCATGGGAGGAGCATATGGAAGAAGAGGTCTGTTCACCTCATGGCAACAGAAAGCAAAAGAGGAAGGAGCCAGAGTCCCAATATTTCCCTCAAGGGCATGCTTCCAGTGATCTAACTTTTTCTCAATAGGCCCACCTCCCAATAGCACCATGGGCTGGGGACCAAGTCTCTAATACCTGGGCCTCTGGGGGACACTTCCAAACCACAGCATATTTTTCAACTTCTGACAGGTTAATAAAGATGTAACCCCACTGTAAGTTAAAGAGCATGTGTGTTAAAAGCAAAACAGAATTTTAAAAAATCAATAACTATCCTTTTAAGAAACAATGGAAAAGAAGAGCATATGAAACCTGAAAAAAAATTAATAAAGATAGGAAAAGTAACTATATAATAGAAAACAAACATATAATAAAGAAATTACATAAAACCAAAAGATTGTTTTTGAAAAGATTAATGAAAGTGATAAAATCTAGAAAAAAAGATAGAGCACAGATCACCAATATTAGGAACCAGGAGGATATTTAAAATTTAGTATGTAAAATACAGGTATCCTTTAGACATTAAAAATATAGGAATAATATATTAAAATAATTTTATACCAATTTAAACAAATTCCTAGAGGAAACAAGCAACAGAAACTGACACAAGCAATAGAAAACTGAATACTTCTACATCTATTGAGACTAAGCCCATAATTTAAAACAATCCCACAAAGAGATCTGTAGAACCAAGTGGCTTTACCTATGAATTATCCAAACATTTAAAAAATAAATAATGCTACTCTTATAGAAAGATTAACATTACACTTCTTTCATTTCATTACATTTCTTACAATTCTTGTCTTCCAGAGAATAGAAAATTAAGTTCACTTCCCAACTCACTTTATTACGTCAGTACAACCTTGATACCAAAAACTGAGAAAAACATTATAAGAAAAGAAAATTCCAGGCTACCATCTCCTATAAACATAAACATTCAAAATATATATCAGCAAACTAATTCAAGCAACATATTAAAGAGTAATATAAATGACAAAATCCAGTTTATTTCTACAAGTAAAAGTTTGACTACTTTAAAATAAAATCAATGTAATTTGCCTCACTAACAGATTAGGAGAAAAATCACATAATCCTCTCAGTAAATGTAGCAAATACATTTGATAAAATATAATATTTATAATTTTTAAAAATCACTTAAAATATTAAAAGGGAAATTTTCATCTGATAAAAAGTCTCTATAAAAAGCTTAAAACACACATCATAATTAATGGCAAAATACTCTAAGATCCAGAAGAAACGAAGTTGCCTATCATCTGAAGTTTCTTGCTATTACAATAAGGCAGGAAAAAAGTATACAGACTGGAAAGTAAGAAATAGATTGCTGAATACCAAGTTAGCTATATAAATAAATGATAGTGTCATTTTAAAAATAAATTGCTTATAGATAGAACTATCTATCATAACATCACACATTTAACAATAAATCTAACCAAATATGTCTGAGTCCTACATACAAAAACTCTTCAAAACATTACTGAGAAAAATTTAAAAACATCTAAATAAATAGATAAATATATCATATTTGTGGATGAGAAAATCAATATGGTAGACTACAGGGCACCACCTGTAAAAAACACATGAGGATCTTGGCATGTAGTCAGGGAGATTTCAGGTTTAACCTTGGGGACTATCCCTATCCCTGACTCTCCCATGCAATAGACTGCCCAAGGCACATGACCATGACCTTTATCTTTGTTCAGCTAGGAAAATCTCTCACAGTCTCTCTAGAGATGGGCACAACCCATTGGGAACTGGGCAGCCCACCTTCAACATTTTTTGGAGAAGAACATTCTATGGAAGGCCTTTGATGTCCCCCAATATAAATAAAGCAGACGTGGGCTCCATTTTGCCTTTTAGTCTAGAAGCTTGATCTGCTGGTTGGCTTGCCCATCTCACCCCAACTTTTTGAAAATATTTTCTGTGTCTTGAGATTTTTGTCGTCGTTCTATTTTTCTTAGCTTTTATTTCTCAGTCAACCCATTCCACAGAGGGGAATCCCATTCCCATTGCCTGTGCAGGACGCAGTTGTCCCCAAATTGATGTATAAATGCAATGCAATTCTAATAAAAATTCTAGGCATGCTTTGTAAACAGTTGTATAATTTAAAGCTGATTCTAAAACTCAAATGAAAATGCAAAGGTCCAAGAATAGCCGAATCCATCTTGCAAAACACTGGAGGACAAAAGCTATCAGATGTCAACATTTATTACAAAAACATAGTAATGATGTGGTATGGGAGAGAATAATGAGTCCAGAAAATAGACCCCAGATATACCACCACCTTTAAAACAAAAAGATACTGAAGTGTGGTGAAGAAAAGATGACTCATCAATAAATGGTGCCAACTCTACTAGCTATCCATATAGAAAAAAATTATCTTAGCCTCTTATATGGTATGAAAAAGATAATAAAGAAGTTTCTTGGAAATTAAGCAGGCACAATTTATTGAGATCAACAAGGTTTCTTATCAAGAACAAAGAACACACAATATAAAGGGAAAATCTGACAGACCATAATACATTAAAATTAGAAAGGTCTTGATATAGCATATCTATCACTCCTTATTTGGGAATCTTAATGTATGCAGTCTGAAAATTCACTTAATTTTACTTACTTAATATTCAAATAATGACTTCTGGTTTGTAAATGAGTAATATCTTGATTTATAAAATTAAACTATAAAACTCATTATGAGAGGTTCAAGTAATAGTAATTTTAATAATAATAACTACTGGAAACTTAACAAAGGATCAAATAAAACTTGAACTTAATATGTGAAGTGGCATTGTTTATACTCATTTTTATTAAAACTACACTTTTACTTCTAATGTTAAATTCAGGAACTCGTTATTACAGGTGATTAAAATAGTAGTTAGGCAAGAAGTGTCCATTCAGGAGAGAAACAAAACCAATTTAAGTAAAGAAAAAAAAAGGCACCTGCTACAACAAAAACACACTGAATGCCTATTCCTTTATACATCTATTTACGTGTATGTAAAAATGTAAAAACATTTTGCTCAATCAGAATCATAGCTACAATAGGATTAGCCTTTCTCTGGGTGGGGTAACAGCTATACATCATCTTATTTACTCAAAGAGCCTCCTTAGATCAGAAACGCAAGGACAGGAGGAAACTAAAGACTGCATTAGCTTTCTAGGGAGAGCAAGATTTTGGGGTTTTTTTTTTTAGGTTTTTTGGGGGGTTGACTGGTTATTTTTGTTGTTGTTGTTGTTTCTTTGGTACTGGGAATTGAACTCATGGGCACTTAACCTCTGAGTCACATCCCCAGCCCTTTATTATATTTTATTTAGAGACATGATCTCCCTGAGTTGCTTAGGGCCTTGGTAAGTTGCTGAGACTGACCTCATTCTCCTGCCTCAGCCTCTCAAGGCACTGGGATTAACGGCATGTGCCACCATTCCTGGCTATAGAGCAAGGAGATCAAGACATTACTTATCCCTACGTTTAAAATTTTCAATTTACATAATTCATGTCTGTAATCAAATAATGTAACATGCAAAAAACTCTTTCCAATAAAAGATTAAGACTTTTTTATATAATCTTACATATTCTGTTAAAGACATAACAAAACCTCATATATAGGAGGGGGTTAAGTGAACATCTTTAGTTTGCATTCTTGCAAAGGTGACAATCTTCAAATTCTACAGATTAATGAAAATTACATAGGGGACTATGGTTTGGATAAGGTCTGAATGACACCCAAGAGTCCATTACCATTAAATGCTTGGACCCCAGGTGGCATTACTGGGAGGTAGTGGAACATTTAGAAGGTGGGAACAAATTGGAGATCCCTAAGTCACTGGGGGTGTGTCCTTGAATGAGATTGTGAGACCTCACCTGTCCTCTCTTTCTCTCTACTTCCATTATAGATATTACCACTTTGCTTCTATGCACGCTTCTGACATGACATGTCACCATCATCTACCCACACCAGAACTCAGTCAATGCAGGCATGATGTTTTTGAACCTCCAAAATTACAAACTACATAAACCTCTTCTCATTTGAAATTAGCTGACTCTGGTATTTTGTTGTAGTAATGGGAAGCTGATAAATATTTAGGATTAATATATTTTAATTCTTAATCTCTGCCCATGCCAAACATTAAGACAACACACATTTATCTTTTACTATGTGAAGAACACTACTTTCAACTAATAATCACTTTACCTTTGCAGCAAACTGTAGTCCAATTTGATCAGCTTCAGCTTCCAGTGCTCTACTGTATGGTCTATCAAACATATACTAAGAAGAAATATGATAGAAAAATTCCATTAAGGTAATTTGTTTTTTGACAAAAGAAATAACAAAATGAAATTTTTAAAAATCAATTTCAGAGAGTATCTAGGATAAAATTTCTATACTTCCTACATCTTTAAAGAACACCATGGTATAAAACATAAAAGGAACCTTTATTTCTTCCATCAGATTAATACTTTAAAAACAAGGAAAAATAGAAAAAAAAACATGCCTACAAATTTCTGGACAGTCAATAGTATCATTATATCTGTTTTCCAATTATAATCTCCACTGAGTAGAGGGATCTCTAAGAAAGCTTATTAATGCAAGCTCTTAATATGACCAAAGAACATTTTGATATTGCAGTTTAAAATGAAATTAAAAAATATAAGTCCATAATAACCAGTGATACTATTAGAAGATTTATTTCAGTAAGAAAATTAACAATATAGCAGAACTTTGTTTCTTTGATAAATTATCTTAATTTCTAAGTATTGTTAGGAAAATGAAATTTTCATCTGACTTCAATTTTTTAAGAATTAGATATTATAACTTTTATTTTCCCAATTACTTATATTTATGAGAATGCTTTTCAGTTAAATTCTAATTTTCAGTAAATACTAAAACTTTGTAAAGGACAGATCAATAGGCATTTTTTCTTTGAGAAAAGAGCTATTAATTGGGGAAACGATTTTTCAAACATAGCAACGTGTTTGTGATGACTAAAAATAATCAATCTGAAAACAGTATGTGATCATTAGATGTGAATTTTTTTCTTCCCAATCATATCTCTTTTAGGTTGGTAAACGACATCACAGTCTCTTCACTCTCATGAGCAGACTTCATGTGTCGCATTGAGTCTACTCATAAAATACCAATTTAAAACATTGGCTTTAAAAGGAGAACCAGTAGTATCATATGTAAAATGGAACTAATAACAGCAAGCACCAAATTCCTAGATTTACAAAGAGAATTAAATGAAGCAATAATAAAATCAATAGCTCATATTTACCGTGTCCTTACTTTATGACAAGGACTGTGCTAAATGCTTTAAATTAGTATTCTCAATCTGGTATCACTCTGTCCCCCAGGGACATTTGTTAAGTGCAGACTTTTTGATCGTCACAACTAGGAAAAGACCCTGATAACTACAAGGCACAGGAAAACTCMCCACAACAAACAAGTCTAGTTCTGAGATTGAGAAATCCTGTCATTAAGTGTAGTATTCAATAGCCACAGCAAATGAATGTAGGCAATTCCCACTCCCTAACAATTTTACTATCAGCATTCCTTTCTCCTTCCCAGTCACAGTGAGCAGGGCTTTATAGAGAGAAAAATATGTGTCACCAAAAGTTTTGAGGGGAAAAGAATTCAAACAAAAGTCATCTCTCTTCTATTTTCAATTTAATTATTGAATTAAAGAATTACCATAAAAAGGCAGGCTTCGTCAAGAATTTCAAGAAACAGCTACAAGATATCTTTATTATAACCAAATCTGATTCCACCACAGAAAAAGTAATCTATAGATGGATGGGTTGGGGAAGACCACATGAACTCCTCTGACATTCCAGCAGGTCAGTGACAGAAACAAAGGTCCAAAATGTGAGATCCTAAAATCTAAGCAATAACCATTCCTTCTTTTTTTCCCTTTGAGAACCTTTACTTCAATATAAATGAAGCCAAGTGATAGGAGAACTCTAAATAAAAGCCTTAGTTATTGAGTCTCAAAAGCAATTTGTCTCAGAGAATTCTGAACATTAGATTTGAACAACACCCAGATGGCACTCTGATGGGTGCTCCACAACATTAAATAAACAAATGACAGATTGTGCCTAAATAACCAAACCTCCCAGGACAAGAAGAAATAAAGAAAAATGTAAAATAGTTAATCATGGTTAACAAAGTACTTATGAAGATTACAAGACCTACTTTCAGTAATGCAGCTTTTTAAACAAAATGAAAGACTTAATACATTTGAGATTATCATTACACATAAGCACTAAGAACCAAAGTTAACAAATACCTAGTAAGACTGTCCTTTCAATATTTTTGAGGCAATGTAAGTTTAAATGGAAGTGAGCAGGAGAGGGTGATAAAGCAGCTTAGCAACCCTATATCATTAAAGTTTAGAGATTTCTTTGAAGAGTTTTCCCCCAAAACAAAAATATCTGGGGGATAAGGGAGTCAGTACACTACAGTAACAGAATGAAAGAAAGAGTTCATGGACTATGCTTTCTCTCTGTAAGACCAACAACTATGTGAAAAAAAGATATTAGCTAAAAATTACCTAACCCTTTTAAACCATCCATACGCATCACTTATTTGAGAGATGTAGCATTCCTTAAATTCTCATATAAGAATATTCCCTAAAACAAGTAAACATAAGACACTAAAATTCAATACCCATGTTAAATTAAATATTAAATAAAATAAATATTAAATATCAAATTTCCACCCTAAAAGTGGAAACATCTCTGGTATTTGTTGCTTCACAATAGTATTAAGATATCCGCAAATAACCCTTATAAATTCAAGTTATTATCTCAGACTTACCTCCTGCAGTTTAGACTGTATCCACTGGCCCAAAATTGCCAAACTATCTCGTGGACAAATGGCCCAAATCATTGTGAGAAAAATCATACCAAGGAAATCCAGTAAATGAACCAAGCTAGCCTTTTCCGCCTGAGAACAATAAAAAAAAAAGTGAAAAATTACATTCAATAAATTGAGACAGTGTGTTTATATTTTCTAGTTATCATGTGTAATCACATTAAATAACTGCATGTGTTTAAGTGGTCCTCAACAAATAAAAACCTTACTTCTCTTTCTTCTGTGTGCATATCCTTCCCAGTCTCTTTTTCCTGTCCCTTACTTACATAGTCATGCACTTAATGCACTACTTACTATCAAGTCAGACAATGACAGGTTCATTAATCTACAGTTTCTTATATTAACAGCACAATACTGTGAAACAGGTTAAATTACTCCTATTTTATAGATAATGAAACTGAGATGGAGAAGGCCCTTAAAAATACTGCCCAAATTCACACCTTTATTAGTGAAAGGACCAGAAATCAGACAGACCCAGTAAGTTTTAGTTTCTAATACAATCATAAATCTTTTTAAACATAAAATAAATGTGTTTATTATACTTACATTTTTGGATAAAGACTAAGCACTACCTAACATATGAAGCAGTTAAAGTAAGGAATAATTCAGAAAAAGACTGGAAGTTTATTTTAAATAAAAGTCTTTTGGTCTTTATGATCTAATATAGGAAAGTATGATTGATTTATACAAGTTGTCAATTTTGTAATTTTAGTATCCCTCACCAGAGAATTAGGTTGAGTTTTTGTATTTACCTATAAAAGTAACCAAATAAGGTTATACATAATATAGTTGTTTTGAATAGTAACGTATAATATAAGTTTAATAAACTGGATTGTTTCTTGTTTGCTACTGATGTTGATTAGTAAATGTTAATGTAATGCTGAGAATGATAACATAGCAGTTATTAACTTGAACATATGAAACATGCCTGAAAACTAAAAGCAATGACTTGGACTATATTCTTCAAAAATATCATCTTTCATCACAAAACACACTTTGCTTCATTATAAGAACTGTGCCCTATGAAAAACAAGTACAGGATTTTTTTAACATGAAAGAGTGAAACTTAAAATAATGAAGCCATTATGGAAAAGAAAGTCCTTGCTATTAATTACTAAAGAATATGATTACCACTACACAGTCTTAGAAAACTAGAAATTTTTAAAAAATTGTGTATTTGTAAAACAAAGAAAACATCATAAAAAGTTAGATTTAATTAAAATTAGACTCCCAAAAGAGAAAAATGTGTTCATATAATAAAGACCTCTGCAATAGAAGTATTAATAACTATTTTCTATGAAGGGTGCTATTTGCATTTTATGTCTCATCTAATTACTGTTCTTGCACTGACAAAGATAACAACAATATAATGAGAATGAGACATTGAACTAGATTCCAGAAAAACATAATGAATAATAAAAGCTTTTAAATGTTAAAGTGGCCAGATTGATTTATTTTTGTGATTATGACAACATTAATTGGAAGACAGAGTGCATATAATGACACTAACAATTGCTTAGACTTATTTTTGTACATATTTTAAAAAAACAATTTTTAAATTTTCCTTTAACTTTGAGGAAATAAGGGAGAAAATTACTATTTGCACTTCAGAAAAAGCACAACTTTGACCTATCTTATTTTCTTATTACTCTAGGAATAGGCAGAATTTAAGAAGACTTTTAGAAGGAACATAAACATTATTGTTTCCATTTGAGATTAACATTACTTGCACTTCTGATTTAGTATTTCATAATCCTTTCACTATTTGCTTTCAGGTTTTCAATTAAAGAAAATATACTTCTCTCTAATTATGTGGACAAAAGAGCCATTCATATTTTTTAATGAGTGGTAATTTAAAAAGGAATAAAACAAGTATATGTTATTTTCCTGGACTCATACCAAGTCAAATAGATGTGTAATCAAAAGACCATAAATCAACCTGAATTCTATAATGTATTTTAAAAAGTTCTGCCAACAAACAGGTAACTGTGGTAAAAGGAAGAAATGCTGGACTTGTAAGCAGAAGACCTATTTTAAATTCCCAAGTCAGTCACTTTGTCATGTTGTGTTATTTAGAGTCTTTTTAAATACCAATCCTCATATATAAAATAGAGATAATAAATATATACTTCATGAGGTATTAAAGTTATGAATGAAAAGATACATATTAAAAACCTTGGTAAACTGTAAGATGACAAGGTATCATTATTACTTTGCATTAATTATATATGGCCTATCATTCTAGATATTTTCACAGATTCTCTAAGCTATCCTCTGAGAATGAACAAAAAGAAAACTAGTTTTCACACTTCAATAGTAATATCATTTTATATAATTAATTTTCTGACTAGATTATATGTATGTTAATAACCATGGAAAGTTTAAAATCTAATTTGAAATAATTAGAGGTTGAGAATAATTACTTTTTTAGCAAAAGAGAAAGGTAATAAAAATAGTATTTAAAAGAAACACTAATGATTCAGTATCAAGTATGAAGATCATAAAAAAATCTCAAAATTAGCCAATCACATTTTTTTTAGGTAACAGAATAAGGAAATTACTAAATACTAAAATTCCATCATTAAAAACAGAAAACTAAAAGACTCAGTTCTTGAAGAGATGTAACCTGCCACCTTTGCAACAATATTCTGACAATTGAATATTCACTTCAGGTACTTACAGCATGCCCAAGTACTGCATGTGCTATTTCATGACCCAGAAGGAAGGAAAGTTGATGCGTATCAGTTACACTATTTAAGAGGCCCGTGAAAATAAAAACTTGTCCATTCTGCACCATAAAGAAAATAATACAAGCAATTAGAACAACATAAAATATAAGGATATTAAATTTAGCAATAAAAATGTGTTTGAAAACATTTACTTACTGGTAGCACAAAGGCATTTATATCTGGAGAATCAACCACATGAATAACCCAATTGAGCTCAGAGATCCCTGGGATATCCTTATTACATTCAATTAGATGATGTACCACTTCTTTAACAGTCAGATATCGAGGGTCTTTCTCAGTTAGCATATCATTCTTAAATTCTTCCATCCACTAAAAAATTAAAATGAAAGTATTCTTTATTGTAAAAGAATTTTACAAAACATTTATATTGCTTCATAAAGAGTTACATGACTACTTAGTGTTGAACATTTTAAGTATTAATTACGTAAAAGTTTGTATATATTAAACATTCAAATCTCTCAAATTTGAATTATTCATTGAAAGGCAAAGTGGTTTCTCACAATGGAACAAATTCTAATATGAATATTTTTCACATAAATGTGTTGAAATCAAAATTTCATTCTATTAACCTATATGCTAGTAAAGTGCTTAAATTTTATTTCTATTTTTCTAAGTATTTTATAAAGCAAAACACTGCCCAGAAAACAAAGATTTCACATAAAAAAGCAAGACATAAGAGTTAATTTTATAACTCACTAGAAAAACACCCCACATACCAATACTAATATGAAGAATAAAATTTTAAAAAGATGTTTTATTCATTTTAAAGTGATTTATTCACACAAATTGAAAGGGAATTACTAAAATATCAGAACTAATGGTTACATAATTTTCTCCATATGATGCTGATCAAAACTAGCCACCTCATGTTTCAAGAACTTTTTCTGAAGCTATATTCATGTGAGATCCTTTCAAGTATACTGAGATAACTAAGGATGTTCTAAATATATTACTTTTAACTTCCAAGTTGTCGTTCACATATGAATCAACAAGTAAGCAACCTTCTTTTTCAGCTTCACTAAAAACATATATTTTGTAGAATCCATATTCTAAAGACTATTAAAATAGTCTTTGCATCAATTAACATTTTTAAAGCATAATACATCAATGTAAACTGGCTGAAACAAACAAAAAAAACTACTATGAACCTATCTGAAGGAGTTCCAATTATATGTAATTATAATACTTTATCTCTAAAAGAACATTTGCTTTAATTTTTATCACAGAGGTATTACATTTGTAGATTAAACAATAAAAAAGACAAGTGTATCTATGGCTATATGTATATGTATATACACATGTAGAAGCACATATATATAATTTTTAAAAATTTCTTAGCAATATGAATGGTATAAGATGCACTAATAGAAAGCCCACCTCAATCTTTCCAGAATACTTTCCTCAAAATTGTCGCCTACTAGGCTAAATTCTAAAAAATATCTCACGTCTCTGTATATACTCTCATAAGAGATTAGTCTTAAGAACAATTTTTACAGAGACAAGTCATTATTATTTTTTATTTTAATGGTAACTTTTCTTTGATAAATTCAGCAGCTTATTTGCAATTTAAAAAAAAAAGACCTTTGGGCTAGGGATGTGGCTCAAGCGGTAGCACGCTCGCCTGGCATGCGTGCGGCCCGGGTTCGATCCTCAGCACCACATACAAACAAAGATGTTGTGTCCGCCGAAAACTAATAAATAAATATTAAAATTCTCTCTCTCTCTCTCTCTCTCTCTCTCTCTCTCTCTCTCTCTTTAAAAAAAAGGAAAAAAAGACCTAAGCACATATCATGGTATGCCCTAGGCATTAGAGACAGAATATTGATATCCCCAAGTAGCTCACTAGGGTACAAAATGTTTAACTATCTGAGTTATTATACTTTTCAAGGAGTTAAGAATTAGAATTCTCACCCACCCCCCCCTTTTTTTTTGCATCAGGAAATACAATTGCCAAAGCGAATGTTTAGAAAAAAAATATTTACTTTACTTGACTTTCAATTAAAAATTCTCACTACACATGTGTTCACTCAATAAATTCACACTAAACACACTTCATGTACATGCTAATCTTTAAGATAAAACACCAAACAAAACAGACAAGGTCCTTGGCCCCATTGACCTTAGTTCAATAAGGGAGACAAACTAACAAGTAAATAATTATATAAATAATGAAGTTACCCTCCTGTATGTTCTTTGAGACAAAAATACAATAAGATAAAAGAAGACAAAGTAAGAGACCTAACCCCACTATCACCGAGCACCAGCCACAACTACAAATGAGCAGGTTCATAGTTCAATGTGAATGAAGGATAACTCCTAGAGCCTGATCTAGTCACCCTGCCTATCCCAGTCTGAATAATCAAGACAGGCTTTCCTGAGAAAGTAAAGGTAACACATGCTGAGAAGGAGTTATTGGGTGAATGGGGAAAAAAAGCAATATAGACAGTGGGAATACTACATGTGAAAGTTCTCAGGACTTTTGCAAAAAAAATGTTAATTTCATTCCAACAACTAAAAGATATTTATTTCATTCCAACAACTTTAAAAAGCAGTGCATCTTTCATATATATGAAACTTTCCTGCTTTGAGTATTATCGTAAACAATCTAATGAAAAACAGTTCTTACTACTTACTGCTTCATATTCCAGTTCTGACAGAAGTTTGAAATGCTCTTTCCCCAATAATAATAGCTTGCTTCTTCCTGTGATTGGGCTCACTTCCAAGTGAGTAAAATAAAACACTACAAATAGCAATCCAAAGCCAGTGAAACCAAGGAATAACTTCCATTTATTCCTCCTGACACTCTCTTTAAATAGTTCCTTCTTGTTAGGAGGAAGTGCCTGCCACCATTTCCTTATGCCCCTAGAGCAAAGAGAAAAGTTCAAAGTTCTGATAACTGTACTAGCATACATCATCAAAATGCAAATGCATGTGCTAGAATTTTATGTCATTAAACACTTGAATCTCTGATCATTTTCTCAGTATAGATGGATTTTTAATGTATAAAATTGTTAGCTAAAAGATCAAAGAGTAATCAACTATATAGAGATATAGCTAAAAATTCTAATGCTCATTTGAATTTTTTCTTCAGTAAATGAGGATATTTGATTATTTTACTACAACTACCTAATTAACATTTATTGACTATCTGCCACACAAAAAGCACTCTTTTTAATCATTACACAGATGTCATCTCATTTAATCTTCCTAACAACCATGTTACAGAAAATTGAGACACAAAGAAATTAAGCAATTTGTGCAAGTTCACAGAGTAATAAGAGGAAAGCCAGGCAATGAAGGCAATGACATTCCAGAGTCTGACCATTTAACCACTTAATAGGGATAAATTGCCCAAATAAACATATAAGGAACTACGGTACAACAAATCTATACCTTTAACCACTATTCTTCCCACTGCTTCTCAGAGTTCTGGCCAGTGCTTCAGCAAGGTATAAGGAAAACTACCTCAGCATTGATTTTGGAAATAAATATTGTTCAGAAGCAGAAACTCCTTTATCCCCCTCTAGAACAGGAGAAAGGAGAGGTAAAAAGAAGATCAGAAGCACTATAAATAAGCAAATGGGAGATCTTCTAGATAACATCTGAGAAGGTCCAATTTCTACCAGGCAATAAACATTTGACAACAAGTAATGTTTTCAATAATGGATAAAAAGTTTTCTTTATAAGTTCACCAATAAAATCAAAATAAAAATTTAATATGTATACATCATTCTCAACAAAAATGTACTTTAAAAATCTTAAAGTTATCATAATTTTGTTAAGTTACTAATATGGCTTACAAGTTACCCCCAAAGGTCCAAGTGTTAAAAAGTTTGTTACAGCCTATGGCTCCACTGGGACTGTGAGATGGTGGAACTTTTGAGAGGTAGGGGCCTAGTGAGAAGAAGTTACGCATGAAGTGCATGCCCTTGAAGGGAATATTGGGACCCTAGCCCCTTCCTAGTTCCCTCTTTTTGCCTCCAGGCTTCTGCCATGATGCATTGTACCTCCACAAGACGAAAGCAACAAGGCCAAAAGACAATTGCCTGAAACCTATGAAATCATGAGCAAAATAAGCCTTTGATTATTTCACGTACTTTGTCATAATGGAAAGCTGCCTAACACAATAACATATATGAAATGCCTTAGACAAAGGGTCTAACCAAAGAGACATAAATCAAACTACAAATAAGTAAATCAAACACAAATCAAAGTATACTTATTTTCTATTTAAAATTTACATGACATTATTACTTAATTAAAATGTATATGGAACATATTTTAAAAGACAATTTTAAGTAACTAATAGTTGTAACAAAAACAAAATCATTAAAAATAAAAAATTTAAAAGAATGAGAACACATGAGAAATTAGAAAGCTATTATCCCAAGAAACTGGGAAGAGTTTGTTACTTAACCTATGATCCAATAAGACTATTTATTTTCTGAGTGCAAACACCAAATCATAAAGAACACAATAATCTACAGAGAACTTTTTAATTTTTATTAAAAGCAAATTGAGTTGTTGTTAAGGAAGAAAGAAGACTAGAAGGGATATTGTAGTTACCAAATTTAAGAAAGCTTTATGAGGAGATGAGCTTTCTTCAATTTCAATGAAATAAGAAAAAACAGGGTTTAAAAAATATATACTATTTAAGCACTTTTTGTAATCCCAGGTACATGGGAGGTCAAGCAGAAATATTACAAAATCAAAGCCAACCTGAGAAACTTAGCAAGATACTGTCTCAAGCTAAAAATAAAAAGAGGTTGGGATATAAATCAGTGGTTGAGCGCTCCGGGTTCAATTCCCAGAACTGCAAAAAGAACTTATTTATATGAAGCAAAAATGGTAATTTTTATAAAGGACTACTAAGATAAATATTTTAGAATCAGAACAATTACATATTAATGGTTTAAAAGTTAACTTGACTAGGTATGAGCCCTTTCTTATGTAAGAACAGAACCAACCTAAATGCCCTTTAATAGATGAATGTATTAAAAAATGTGGCATATATACACAATGGAATATTAACTCAGCAATAAAAGAGAATAAAATCATGGCATTTGCAGGTAAATGGATGCAGTTGGAGAAGATTATGCTAAGTGAAGTTATCCAAACCCAAAAAAACAAAGGGCAAATGTTTTCTCTGATATAAGATGACTGACTCATAGTTGGGTAGGGAGAGGGAACATGGGAGGAATTGACAAACTCTAGATAGGGCAGAGGGGTGAAAGGGGAAGAAAGTAGGCAGGGAGTTAGCAATGATGGAGGAATATGATGGACATCAATAACCAAAGTACATGTATGAAGATATGATTTGGTGTGAACATACTTTATATACAAACAGAGATATGAAAAATTGTTCTACATGTATAATAAGAATTATAATGCATTCCACTGTCATGTATTTAAAAAAATAAAACTTTTTTTTTTTTAAAAAAAAAAAAAAGAAAAGCTCTTCAGTTTCATGATTCACTGGCTCAAATTCTACAAAATAAAAAGGCAATGTTAAGTACTATAGCATGAGCTATGGTCAATATTTCTGATTCTTCTTATAAAGTCTTTTTAAAAGGTACACTTTTTCCTATTTAAAATTTACATGACAAAATGGGCTGGGAATATAGCTCAGTAGTAGAACCTGCCTCGCACATGTGAGGCACTAGGTTCAATCCTCAGCATAGAAATAAATAAAGATATTGTGTCCACTCATACATTGCTGGTGGGACTGCAAATTGGTGCAGCCAATATAGAAAATAGTATGGAGAATCCTTGGGAAACTGGGAATGGAACCACCATTTGACCCAGCTATCCCACTCCTCAGTCCATACTCAGTGAACTTAAAAACAGCATACTACAGGGACACAGCCACATCAATGATTATAGCAGCTCAATTAACAATAGCTAAACTGTGAGACCAACCTAGATGCCCTTCAGTAGATGAGCGAATAAAGAAAATGTGGTATATGGAATATTATTCAGCATTAAAAGAGAATAAAATCATGGCATTTGCAGGTAAATGGATGAAGCTGGAGAATATAATGCTAAGTGAAATTAGCCAATCCCAAAAAAACAAATGCTGAATGATTTCTCTGATTTAAGGATACTGATCCATAATATGCTTGGGGGGTGGGTGGAGATTAAATAAACTCTAGATAGGGCAAAAGGGAAAGGGGGAGGGAGGGGACATAGGGATAGGAAAGATGATGGAATGCGACGGTCATCATTACCCTAAGTACATGTAAAAAGACACAAAGAATGTGACTCTACTTTGTGTATAACCAGAGATATGAAAAATTGTGCTTTATGTGTGTAATATGAATTATAATGCATTCTGTTGTCATATATAACATCAAAATTTTAAAAAAGATATTGTGTCCATCTACAACTAAAAATATTTTTTAAACAAAAGGGGCCTCATGAATACATAACTTTTTCAAGATTGTATTTCTATACCATAAATTAATATGCAGCAAATTATTTTGAGAGCATTAAATCACACATAACAAAACTGGGTAGGACCTACTGTATAAAAACTCAATTTTGAGCTAAATATGGTATGGGGAAGACTAAACAAGGTTTCTTTAAAAGTACCATTTTTCAATATTAAACTTCATAGAAGTTGATACAAATGTGAACACCAAAATGTACAAAAGTTACTTTGTTAATTATTTTACCTGCCCACAATAATTGCAAGTAGCTTCTGCACTGGTTTCAGAATGATCAAGAAGAGAGGAACTGGAGCAGTTTGAACCCGTGAAGAAGTGTGGAAGCTCCTGCCAACTCTGACAGAGGAACAGCTCAGTGGACACAAGGCTCCAAGAGCAGGATCAACTGCAACTTTTTTTGTAAGCACCCATCTTGGAAAAGAGTCATTCCATGCAGTACCTTTGTGAGTAACCATCCAAATTTCCTTACTTTTGGCACTTGAGATGTATCCTATTCTTTTGTTACTGAAAGTCCTACAGAAATGAAAGTTTCCAGGGAGAAAAGTTGACAGGTCACACTGACTGAATGATTTAAGACCCTGACACTTCTTAATTATTTGGAGATTTTGTACTTGACAACAGCCCACTAAAGCTACTGCTGGTGAATTCCATTTTCTCCAGTTGGTCAGTGAATTAAATTGGGAGAGAAAACAGTTTCTAGTAGCAGACTGCAGTCCATAGATGAAGCTCATCTTTCTTTTGCTTAATTATCTGGAACACAAAAAAATAAAAGATAAGTATTTATGGAAAATAATTTATTCACCAAACCAAGAACATAATACTTATGAAACAGGTGTGATGGTAGTTCTTTTGCCATATCTCAGCCTAAATTATCTTGGGCTTCTATTCATCACCCCCATGGTAATGCCTTTCACCAATACAAACTAGAAGAACACGTATAACACTATTACTGTACAATATGTACTTTTAAAACTTGCATTTTTTCACTTTATTTTTAACTTTTTGTTGAGAAGAAGTCTACTTTTTATTTTAATAGTAAATTATTTGAGGAGTAAGAATAGATAGGATTAAAAAGACACTAGTAAAATTTTATCAGTTGGCAATAATAGGAAAAGAAGGATGCAGTAGGATAGAAAAATTAACTGATAAAATATATCTTTTAAAATACAAATGTCTTTATTTTAAATAAAATCCTAGGACTTTTGACTGGGATTAAAATAAAGTGTTACCAAATTTACCCTCTCACCTAAAAAAAAAAAAAGATTATATAATATAATAACTGTGCATTTCAACACATTGAGCATTAGACAATGAAAGGAGAAAGATGGGAAACAAACAAGATGAGTCCTTTATTCACCCAGCTTACTATACTACCTGGTGAGTTTCCAGGTGACCATGCAGACAGGGAAATCTAGGTGAAGCTCAATGGTTGCCATAAACTGAAGAGATGAAGCTGGGAGTGCCAGTAGGCCCAATTTACAATGCAGACAATAAGAAAAGACAGAGCTGCTGAAAGAGTGAGTTCTGGAGATCTACAGAGAAGCCCCCCTCACATTCAGCTGAGTCCTGTAGGCACATACATGTAAAACAAAACAAAAACTACTAAAGTTTGCAAAGAACTACCTGAAAAGAATAAAGGGCACAATACACACACACACACACACACACACACACACACACACACACACACAAGGCTACACAGCACCAGGCACAGTGTCTGTTTCCACCCACTGAAGCAGAAAAACTTACAATTCATGGTAACTGGGTAGAGTGCTCAGAAGGGTTTGGCAGTCATACAGAAAAATTAGTCCAACACTGAAAGCTATTCTGATCCTAACACACACAAGACATACCTAAAAGATCAGACTGTTTCTATAAAACAGCTACATGCCAATAGAGAACAAAAACCTCAAGAACAGATGTAAGAATCAAAAAAAAAAAGTCTAGTACTTAACATGGTATAATTTATAATTAAAAATTACTAGGATCTCAAGAAGCAGGAAATGTGATCTATAATTAGGAGAAATATCAATCAATCGAAATGAAGTCACTCCTAAATAATATAAATGACAGCATTAGTAGAGAAGAATATTCATGGAGTTATAACTATATTTTACATGTTTAAGAAGTTAAAGGAAAATTTAAGCATGTTCTGTAGAGACAAGGAATATATTTTTTAAAGGGCCTACATTTAAATTCTGAAGAAGAAAACTATAATGTCTAAGATGAAAGACATAAAGGATTAAACACCTTATTAGACATTGTGGAAACGAAGACTTGTGAACCTGAAGACATATAAGAGACAAAACAGACTTAAAAAATTGCAGAGGGCATCAATGAAGTATGGAATAACTTCACACAGCCTAACATGCTTACAGCTAGAATCCTCCCAATCAGGGGAAGGGAGGTAGATGAAAAGTTCTTGAAGAAATAATGGCCAAAAATTTCCTAAACTTGATAAAAACCATAAACCCACAATTCTACAAAGTTTAATGAACCAAAGGAAACAACTCCAAGGCACATCATAATTTATTAAAACCAATGAAAGAGAAAATGTCAAACTTGACATCTTAGATGAAATGAATAAATTCCTTGAAAAACACAAACAATCAAAGCTCACTCAAGAAGAAACAGATAACCTGAAGAGCTCTACCTTTTTAATTGAATGTCCAGTTAAAAATCTTCCCACAAAGAGAGTTCAGGCCCAAATGGCTTCACTGAGGAATTCTATAAAGAATTAATATTAATTCTATATAAATGCTTTCAGTAAATTTAAAGGAAAGAATAATTTGCAACACATTCCTAAGACCACCATTAGTCTGATACCAAAGCCAGACAACTACACTAAAGATAGACCATAAAGTAATATCCCTCATGAACCTAGATATAAAAGTTCTTTTGTGGGGGAAAGGCTGGTAGGGGGAGGGTGTGCTGGGGATTGAACCCAAAGCTTTGTGCATGGGAGGCAAGCACTCTACCAACCCAGCTATATCCCCAGCCCATAGATACAAAAGTTCTTAAAAATTTTTTAGAAAATCTAACTCATTTTATGAAAAGGTGGCCTCATGCTAGGCTTGGTGGTGCACGCCCATAATCCCAGTACCTCAGGAGGCTGAAACAGGAGGATCACAAATTCAAAGCCAGCCTCAGCAAAGGCAAGGTGCTAAGCAACTCAGTGAGACCCTGTCTCTAAATAAAAATACAAAAATTGGGCTTGGGATGTGACTCAATGGGCAAGTGCCTCTGAGTTCAATCCTGGGTACCAAAAAAAAAAAAAAAAAAAAAAAAGGTGGCCTCATGATTAAGAAAGATTTATCCCAGAATGGTTACACATTCATAAATCAATCAAAATAATTCACCCTATTAATGGACTGAGAAAGAAACACCACATAACCATCTCAATAGACACAGAAAAAAAATACTTCATAAAATTCAACATCCATCACAGATTTCAAAATAAAAAAATTCATAGTAAACTAGGAATAGAAGGAAACTTCTTCAATCTCATAAAAGAGGAAACAGTCAATACAGAAAGCAAACATAGTATATTTATTGATTAAAAAAAAAAAACTACATTTTCCCCCTAAGATCATGAACAAGGCACATATGTCAGCTCTCAACACTTCTACTCAACACTGCATTAGAGGTCCTAGTCAGAAAGAGACAGAAGGGGGAAAGAAAGAAGGGAGGGAGGAGGAAGGGAAGGTAGATATCCAGACCAAAAATAAGGAAGCAAAACAGTCTTTACTTCTGGATAACATGATTATCTACATCGAAAATCCAAACAAAAAATGATACGAGTTCTGTAAGGTACCAGAATACAAAAATAATATATAAAAATATTGTATTTTTATACACTAGCAAGTGATAGAAACCATATGTACCCCTCCGGGAAAGTATATGTAATACTCTACGATTCCAGATCTATAATATACACTGCAAAAAAATGCAAAATAATCTATAGTATCTGAGCAATGATTGCCTGGGGATGGGTAGGTAAAAAGAGGCAGAGGAAGGCATTGCAAACAGTAATGAATTTGTTCATCATCTTGATTACAGTGTTGATTTTACAGATAACCACAAGTCAGAACTTACACTGTACAGTTTACATATGTACAAATCACTACATATTAATTATCTATCTTTTAGTATTTAAAAGATACTAAAAAGACAATAACCAAATACAATGTGCACAAATTGCATCCAGTTTGGAAGAAAATCATCAGCTTTAAAAGACCTAGTGGAGGAATTTGAATTTGGATTTGTTTTTAAGTTATTTTAGATAATGATTACTTATTTCCTTAGGTAATGATATTGTGGTGATGTAGGTGAATACCTCATTCCAGAGATACTTGAAGTACAAATCTTACTTTTGTAAAAATTGTACTGCAAATGCACATACATACAGGACATACAGCCAATAGTGTAAATATTAACAATTACTATGTCTGTGATGGTTATATGAGTTCTTTTTTCTTAATATTTATTTTTTTAGTTATAGTTGGACACAATACCTTTATTTCATTTGTTTATTTTTATGTGGTGCTGAGGATTGAACCCAGGGCCTTGCACATGCTAGGCAAGCACTCTACTACTGAGCCACAGCCCAGCCCTATATGAGTTCTTTAAATGTTTTTCCCCCCAATTTTTCTGAATGTTTTAAAATCTTTATAATAAAAATTGGGGAGATATAAAATTAACTCAACCTTGGCTAATACAACATTATCTAAAAGATGCTTTAGAACTGCTAGTTTTAATAAGTAAGATTATCTATATACTAAACCATTTGAAAAGTATTCAAATTTATTTTGTATGTAGTTTATATACTCTGAGCTTATACTATTAATGTGTAAAGTGAATAAAGCTCATGCTAAGTAAAAATAACTCCAAGTTAACCCCTTCTGAGTTACTACCAATTTTTAATTAATAGAGTCCAGGCTGATCTATAATAGTTTGACATTTTAACAAGATGTTTTATAGGATTTTTATTTTTTGAACCAATATGACAAGTGGTAAAATAATTTAACCCTGAAAATCATTTTCAAAAATAGTAGTCATGCATTGCTTAATGACTAGGATACATTCTGAGAAATGCATTGTTAGGCRATTTCATCACTGTACAAACATCATAGAGTGTACTTATACAAACCTAGATGGTATAGGTCAAACACTCAACATGGCCTCTCAAGGCAATCGAGGGACATGATAAACAAAATGTGTGAGGCTGCTGCCAGAGTAATATAGCATTCTGTTTCACAGCAAATCTTCTTAAAATATAAGTAGGGGAGTACTCTAAAATAAAAAGTATAGTAAATACAGAAGCCTGTAACATAGTCGTTTATTGTCAAGTATTATGTAATGTACATACTATAGGTGTTATACTATTATAAGACCCACAATACAGGTTTGTTTACACCAGTATCACAACAAGCWTGTGAGTAACATATTGTGCCAGGAACATATTATAAGATACACAATGTCATGAGGCCATGGGAGATTTTCAGTTCTGTTATAATTTAATGGGACCATCCTCATGTATTTAGTTTGTCTAGCTGGCATAGGAGTTATAGAAACAGCATAAAAAAAAAAACAGTCGTTGCCCTAACAGAGGTTATAATCTAGTCGAGAAAACTATAATTCTTTATGCCACCTGGGTAGATGTAAAGAGACAAAAATTCTGAAGAATTGTTTCAAATGGGAAAGTGTATTTAAGTTCTTCTACTAGAAACCAAACTGCAAAAACAGTACAAATCCATTTTCCTTCCTTTATTTCAAATCTGAGGGTTTAATATGGTAGATAAGCTTTAAACACTTGCCCAATCACAACCTCAACTTAGGGGATGTACCTAAAGAGTCATGTTTGTCCCTAATGACCCCTGCCACTGGTCACCAAGCTAAGACTGGATATCTGATATAGAAAAAGTTTTATGTAAGACAGTATTCAACATAGGAATATATGGGCTTGAATAAAGGGGGGCTATAGTTGGTGCTATAAAAATGCAAAGCAATATACAAGCAAGAGCTGAAAACCAAAAACTTTGCAGGAGGATATACAGAAAGGACAATGGAATACATGTGTACAAAGGAGACAAGTGATAGACCATGAAGCCAGCAAGAGATAGAGACACAGGAAAATGAATAAGAACTTCCGGGTTCCTAAGTGATTACTACAGTACTTTCTACATTTAATTGAGCTTTACAAGCTTTTACTTTATTCCTAAAATAATTCCCTCTCTTCACTGAGTGTCTTACAAATAAATTATCTCAAAGACATTTACATGGTATGAAACAGTTACACATTCATTTATATACAAATTGATAACATTTTAGTATTATATATGTTCTTTATTGAAACCACCTTCATGTGCCTTCTATACTTTACAAATCTCCCAATTTACAGCACTGCAAAAGTTCCTGAAAATGCTGGATTATCTCTACAGTGACTGTAACATCCAAAAGACCTAAGCCCACATTAAATCAGTCCTGTGAATTCACCTCCTATCAATCCAGTTCCTGGGCTCTGCAATCCTACATCATTGATTACTATATAGTCTCTAATCATTTGGCCTCATTTCACCCCATCTCTTCCACTCCAGGTCATCCCCCAAACTACAGTCAAGGCAACTTTTCTAAAATGCAGATTAGACAACAGAATTTAGTTCCATAATTCACATAAAATCATATGGTGCTAAATATTAGACAATCACTAAAAAGATGGAGATCCACATCATGACCAAGAAATGTGCGAATTTAAGAAATAATTACAATAAACGCTACTTGCAAAAACTCTGTATACCAGGAGAGGCAAACTGAAATATCTAAAGCAGTATTTTATAACAGAATTTTCTACAGTGATGGACATATTCTGCATCTATACTGTCCAATGATAACCCCTACATGTAGTTATTGAGCACTTGGAACATCTAAGGAACAGAATTTTTAGCTAGCTTAATTTTAATTAATTAAAGTTAAATGGCCATATTGTGTGTGACTAGTGGTTATCATACTAGGCAGCAGGTTTGTAGGATTCAGGCGGGTGAATATCAGTAAAGCCACACTTACATGAACACAGATTCACCTCCAACTTAAAGGAGATACAAGTATAGTGGAATTTGAGCTTAAAGTTCCCAAATGTTTCAAAACCACCAGCAGAAATCCAGGCTTAAAAATTGTCAATTGTAAAATGCTGGCAACCAAAATAATTTTTTTAACCACCTTTACCAAATATTCACAAATCTCATTCAGTTTTTGACCTCTGGATTATATTATTCATTTTATTTATTCATTTATTCAATATTTAATGAGTTCCTACTACATGCCAGACATAATTGTGGGTGGTAAGGATATTACACAGAACAAAACAGACAAAAATCCCTACCCAATTTGTAAAAATAGTAATATTAAAATATGTTAATGTATGCAAAAATAAGTAAATCTTAAGGAAGATTACTATTTATAATGACTACTTTGAGTAGCAGGATGGTGGTCATAGGGATTTAGTATTTCCATCTTACATATTTCTGTGCAGTTTAAATTTTTACAGGATGTATTACTTTTATAAACTCCAAACCAACCAACTCTACTTTATTTCCATTCATTTTCTATAGGCCTCAATAATCTTCATAATGCTGTCTCCCACTACATCTCCAGGCACTTTTCCCAAACTTTCTTCACCCATCCCTAAATTTCAGAATCTCTGCTTTACTTGTACCCATCAGAAAAGAAAGCTCTCATCTCTATGCCTATGTGCATCTATTCACACTGCTTAGCTTTGCTCATATGACAAGCAAACTCCTGCTCATCCCTCATAACTTGTGTAAAAAGTTTTAAGCATTCTACTAACAGAGCCAAAAGCCCCAAATACTACCCATATATAATTTAAATCATTACCATTTATATCACTGACAATCAAGTGTCATTTATATAGAAACAGTACCTGATATTTTGTAATCCTGCTTTATCCTTAAAATAGGGTAAAGAATGGGGGAAGAAATCTATTTATACATTTTCAAAGAGCCAATCACTAGACAATACAGCAGCTAAGAAAGAATTGGAACTGACACATCCTCTTCAAAGAACTGTGACAGGTCAACAAACATAGCAGGCACACTTCTAGGATTACTAAATTAATGATGTGAGAAAATTAAGCAATTTGAATTGTGAGCCTCTAAGAACATTTCAGATTCTTAATTCTTTAAGTATCATCTCAGAATGAGCAAGTACAGCACTCACTGGCACTCACAGCTGAAGACTGGAAGACAGTTTTAACAACTCTCCCTGAAAATGACTATTTCTTCTCTAGTTTCTATGGAAACAGCTGTCAGATTGGCAAAAATAGGACATGTACTTTAAAATAATCATTCAAGCAAAGTACACACATAACGGAAGTCTGTTTAAAAAAAAAAAATTGTAAGGCAGCAGTCTGGGTTCTTAAGCTTCCAAAAGCCACACTGCACCCCCTTCACCCTGTCAGAGAATGACTGATACAAACCTTAAACCCTTTTAGTTAGGGTTCCAAGGCCTTGGTCGGAGTCACTATAGTTGATCAACTCCTGAATTTCAAATGAGTTATTTTCATGTCCCTGGACCAACTGAGGACTGCATGGCACAGTAAAACTGTTGCTCCATTTTACACACATAGGTGACATTTAAATAGAATAAAAGTGGTATTTCGTAGACAAGTTCAGAAAGAAACTATTAAAACTCTCCAGAACTATTTACGCAAGAAGTTTTCTGGTTTTCACTGTCGACTATAGGCAGGAAACTTTTTCCTCCCTCAGAAAGAAGAAAAAAGTGAGGGGTTGACATTGAGATGCCTTAAGCAGCTAGAAGAGGTTTGCACAGGTGAAGGGGTTCGGCTGAGGCGCGCAATCCCGTGTTAGGAAGGGACACTTAAGGGCAGCTGATGAGAAGGACAGTCTGTGGGGGGAGGGAAGGAGAGGATCTTCCCGGAAAACACCGCCGCTATGCCAACTTGCAACTTGGCTCCGTGGCATCCCGGTCGGGGGAGGACCAGGCTGTGCCCTCGCACCTGCCCTCTCTCCCGCGCCCGAGGCCTCGCCACCCAGCCCCGCTGCCACCTCACAGGTCCCCTCCTTACCCAGCGTCTCTCCTTGCCCTGCCCACCCCAGCTCCCACTCGGCGCCCCGTCCCCTCCGCCCCGCCCAACACGAAAGAAGAGGGCAAAGGCATCACCGTGAGCACAGACTCTAGCAATGGCGAAAACCTGGGTTCCTCCGGCCCGACTTCTGCGCAAGCGCAAAACCCTCCGAGAAGCCCCGCCTCCTCACTTCCTGCCCTTGGCTCGGCCAGAACCTTTTCTCCGCCCACCCCGGGCAGCCAATATTCCCGCCCAGAGTCGTCCTCCCTGGGGGGAAACCTCTGCCCCTGTGCGGACTATGGCACTATAGTGCCCCCGTGTGGTCGGAGGAGGAATGTGGCCCTAGGCTGGGTGGTTTGCCCGGGAGTGAGTTAACTTATTCAGATCTTGTTACTTGCTTTGGCTGATTTGGGTTGTTTAAAGAATGATTAGAGCAAGGCTGTACCTGCTGAAGATTTAAAGCAGTACTGGCCAAATGAAAAAGACTTGAGGGCTACAGAAGACTCAAGCTTCTTGGTTCTGAAGCTACACAATCTTTGGAGTWTGGGGGCACTCTGTTTTCACATGAAGAAAGATGAAATACTACCTGAAGTGTCTGGAAATTAGTTGAAAATAGCTAACTACAAAGGAGTGTATATAGTGCACTTCATTCCACACACAAAATAACATTCTTGAGCACGAATTGCATTCTAGGTGCCAGTTATCTAGTAATGAACAAGACAAAGACCTGACTCTCATAGAGCTTATATGACAAAAAGGAAAGTAGATAGTAAACAAGTATATCAATAAATAAACAAGATATCAGCGTGGTGAGTAGTATGATCCTATATTTATCATATTTAGACTCTGCACAATGAAAAAAAATTCAAAGGACATAAACGCTATGAACAATTTTAGGTATCTGTTTCAGAGSATTTATAAGTGATTTTTTTCCTTTTATCTGGCTTATATGTATTTTATAATTTGCCTTTTGTTTTGAAGGGAACATCCTGGCAAACCCCTGACCCTGGATCCTAAAACCTGAAGTAGTAGTTCCCTCAGTTCTCTAGGGCTGTTTTCTGAACCTGTGAAGTACATATGCCATACCAAGGTTTCCAGAATGCTAGGCACCTGCCCTCTTATCATGCCTATGTAACATGATGTGATTGTTGTAATAAATGGAGGCATTCTGTGGGATGTCCACGTGGTTCACCTCTGTACTGTCTACAACCCAGTTGTGTTAGAGCAGTGGGATAAGTTGCTAAGAGACCAAAAGAAAGTACCTGAAGGTGGCATGTAAGGCACAAGGTTTATTTTTAAGTGCTTACAGGGACAGTCTGATAGCAGTAAGTTGGACAGATAACACCTCCATCTCTCTTGGTGCTTCACCAAATAATGCCTCCATCTTAAGCCCTCCTTCTGGGGCCATCTGATTTCTAAAGAAGCTACACTGGCAAATTAAATKAAAATATGACAGGGATAACCAATCCTGTATCCTTTAAATATTTCATGATGGCACTTATCTCTACCATCATCCTCCTTGGGGGAAATATTAGTTTTTATTTATTATCTGGACTTGGGAAAAGGAGCGGCTTCACCAGGTTCCATCTGGTCTTCTCCAATACTTTAATTCAAGTTTAAGGATCTTATATTAGTTTGGTATTCCATAAATTATGTCTGAGGCATGCTACTTTAGGAAGGAAGAAGTCTAGCTAGCTCACAGTTTTGGAGGCTCAGAGTTCAATATCAAGCAGCCCCATGTGTTGGCCTCTGGTGAGGTCCATGGATGACATCACATCATAGCAGAAGCACATATAGAATCTAGCATCATTATCTCAAAATAGGAAGCACAGAGAGGGAGGGCCARGCTTGCTTACAGCTGTTAACAGTAATCACAGCCTGCAGGCTTCTGAGGCTTCAAGCCACCACCAAGTTTCTATTACTCTGGGATCCTCTTATCCCCTGGATATTATCTAGGCCAGCCTTATGATGACTGATTTTTTCCTTCATCCCTAGCCTACAGAGGACAGACTCCTCTGAATTTCCTAGATGCCAATGTCCCTCTCATCTGTGTGCACCCCATTCATTATTTTTGTATCTGTGTGCTGGCAGAACACAGGCCTCTGACTGGTCTTCTGCCTTCACACAATAAATTCATCCCAGCAAGCCCACTTCCCACAGCTCCTTCTTTCCTTTCTCTACCATTTCTTAGGGCAATTCAGACATTTCTACCTTACTGTGCATGAATCATGACTTTCTCCTGGGTGCTATGAATCACCTAGCATTGAGTTTACYCTATCTTCTAGGGTCTTACCAGGATCTCATGTCCCAAGAAAAGGTTCCCAAAGACAATAAATTGTTATTTATCTTGGCTTATGTTCTTGCATATCTTGATCAAGCACCCTTAAAAAGTCGAATTTAATCAAAAATTGCTGTCAGCTCCTGCTGGTACATGCTTACTAATTCTTGCAGCCGCCTCATTATGCAATCTCTCTCCTCTGTAACAGGCCCAATATATCTCTAACTGAGTGCTGCTGGGATTGAACCCTGGCTATTCCCCTTCCTGATAACAAAGAGGAGATGGGGAGCAGTCCCTGAATGAGCACCTATTGCCTTGTGATTAGACTCTCSGTTTGACCTTGCCATTTAGGTTAAGTGTCACTCTTACTATGGAGGAGTTGGCCACATCCACAAGCTATAAGGGTCTATAGAGTCAACATCCTCAAGGATTCTATCCAGATGTCCCATTCCATACKTCAGGTTTTCCCAACCAGGGCTCCGATCTGCCTTGGCTAAGCATTGAAACATCTCTAGGGCTTTGTGACTCTTTCCATCAGATTCCCACTTACTATGGTGGGACATTGTGTGAGCTCCTTAGGTCACTGGGGTGTGCCTCAGAAGGGATTGTGGGATCCTAGCCATCCTTAATCTCTCTCTTCTTTTGTTTATTAGAGGAGTTTCATACCTCCCCAAAATGAGTATCTACTAAAACTCACATTATGCCCAGTCATTGGTTTAGAGCAGCCTGGGGTGAGCATGAGCTTGTTTTCAATGTGGGGAGGAACCCACAATATCAGAGGCACAGACTGTCAGTCAATTATGCCCCCCACTGTCCAGCTGGCATTTCAGGAGGGTTACATATCAAAATGGTAGTGGTGACTATAGTAGGGGTAAGTAAGGWTAATTTTCTTTTTTTTATTTTGCTTTTCTGTGGTATTATTATTTTGCTTGTATAACAAAATAATTGCTTACACCAACACTTAGAAAAGTGTCCCATTAGAATTTCTAAAGAAAAAAAAATCTCTGGGGAATAAGCAAGGATGGGTTTCAGCTTAGGCCTTCCCCTTTGGCTTTACCTAGAGCCTGCTGGGCCATGTTGAATCATTCTGACATTTAACTTAAGGAATTGGATTCTAGTAGGTGCAAAATTAGACAAAATGAGTGAAKCTAGARGCAGGAAGACCAGTTAGGAAGCTGGTATAATAACAATCTAAATGACAATTTATAAATATAATATACTGGGCCCCAGTGTGGCCATTCTTTTGGAGCAGAAGACAAATGCTTTAATTGGAGATCTGCTTGTGTTATGTGGGAAGAACAATCTGGATGACAAGAAAGTAAAGGGAGTCACACTGGATGAAGGAAATGCCAAACTAATTTTTATTGAAATAGAGCATGTATGTAAATGGTGATATGCAAATCCTACAGGTTGAAGTGATTTCAAATATACCGCCATCCACTTCCACCATGTTGAACAGTTGGCACATATTTAAGTAGAATAAGGTGCTGTCCAAGAATTGCAGCCCATCAAATAATGGGACCCTCTCATCAAATTCTGGGGCCATTTCAACTGGTTCACAGTGTGCATTTGGATCAGCAAAGATCCAATTGTTGTGTTGAGCTTCTGTCTGAACCTGTCAAAGAATAAGTCATGCATCATAATTCTTTGCATTTCTATCACCTGTAACTCAGTATTCAATTTCCAGCACTTCTTATAGGAGTTATCAATAAATATCCCTCTCTATCAAGGTGGCTTTCCACTGGAGAAAGCTGAGTTGTCTTAGATTGTATCCCCTAGAAGCAGATTATGATAAATCCTTCTGTGCAAGGTTACTGGAGAGAGTCCTCAGTAGTAACACCTATAAGAAAGCAAGGAAAAGAGCCCAGGGTAGAGGGAGATGTGGAGTTTTTCAGCTACTCCCAGAAAGAGTTCTGGAGTGGGATAGCTCTGCAGAGTTATCCTCCATTGAAGTACAGAGTCCCAGACTTTRTACCCCCAATCAACTAGTTGTTGAACAGTGCTGTCCCTGGGGAGAGGACATATCCTTGGATGAAACAGGTGTATCTTCTGCCAAGTGAAGTCTCCCAGGAGGCAGGCACCTGCTGGAATGGTGATTCTTTGAATGGGATCTGGCGTGCAGCACAGTGTCTACTGTAAGTGTTAATGAGTAAAGGTCCCGCTGCAGCATTGGTGTCACAGGACAAATGCCTCTGTAGAACCCATTTAGCAGCTCTGCTACCATGCATGATCAGTAAGGAACACCTACAAAAAATGCTCACACCTCATCAAGCAATGCTCAGAATGGAGCACTTTTTCTGAGGACTTATCCAAAGGAAATTATTCTTGTCAGTCTTCTACATCCAAATGAAGCAAATAGTTTTGGAAATTTGACAAACACTGCTACCATTTTGCTATGAAAGCAAGATGAAACTATTTTACATATTTAAAAACTTAAAACATCGATCCCTGCTATTTTAATAGGCATTTTTTTTTATTCCTGATGAGGTAAACACTTTTTCATGTTTATGTGCTGCTTGAATTTCTACTTCAGCAAAGCCTTTTCATTCCCTTAACCAATCTTTCTATAAAATATTCATTTTTTAAATGTATTGACTAATAAAACTTCTGTATGTATTTAAGAGTTGTCTGTGGTTTATGTAGCATTCCCCCCACTTGATTGTTGTCTTTTAATTTTGTTAATTTGCATATACAAATGTACCTAATTTTCAATTTTCTGATATGAATAAATCTATTTTTCATTGTGGTCTCTGCCTCTGAGATAACATTTATATTATGTCTTAATCCCAATGTTATCCCAATGTTATATTTTTATCAATATTTTAGTGGGACTTTAATGACTTTGTTCTTTCTTAAGTCTTTTAGAAGCTTTAATATACTAGAAATA